ACAGATATACACAATAAGGGTGTCTCAGGTACCCGTATGTTGCAAGGGAGAGGACCAGCCTAATAACACCATAGTAAAAGAACGATGTCCACGAAACACTTGACAGAAAATAAGAGATAAAACAATATTAAACCCACTAAAACCTGGAGTCGAACTCGGGTGCCTCGGAAGAGCTAACTATATTTCGACGCTGAATGTTTCAGAAAGTATAAACCTTTAGAATAATACACAAACGAGACAAATAAAAAAACACAAAAAACCTGTGATGTATACACAAAGACTTAGTTTTGGGCAATTTAACTCCCATATTCAACTTTGTGGATGTGAACAAAAAAAAGATATAGGGTATTCACCAAAGAGACAGCAACACAAACACACAAACGCATAAATAACATCATAGAAGATGAATATAAGGCCTTCAACAACAGACATGTGTCTGTACTATATGTCAAGCCTTAAATCGCAGAAGTCTAAAAAAAATGTGAATAATTTAACAGGGATTTTCAAAGGTCTGTCATAAACACTGAATCCCACAGACACAATTTAACAAGACAAAAAGAAATAAAAAGAGACAACTACTGGGAAGGTTCATAACATGGGACCAGCATACGAACATGTGGATGGGCTAAACTATCAATTGTCATTGTAGAAACGTTTTAAAGCATGGGAAATTGACAAATTTTTATGACACCCATGCACACCACCTTTTAATTCAAGTTCCTTCATGACCAAAAGCTTGGAAAGTCAAAAATGTATAATGTATAACATTTTGAACCACCATGCAATATAATAGCTAAAACATTAATAAGATCAACTTTGGCTGAGGAGTTGCAACCATTGTTTTTAGGACAAGTACATTTTATTATGCACAAAGTGTGTTATCTAAATGGGCCGATAACGAAACACTGACTACTGGTTCATTCGAGACTTGATGATAAACCAGCAGCGACACCCAGTGCTAGTAAAACAACATTTGATATGATATCTGTGCACACAAATTCAATACGTGTTGCTCAAAATCCTTCATCTGGTATGCTCATGATAAAATCTTTGGAAAAAAAATGGTCAGAATAGCAGCAGAACAGGTAGTAAAATGAAAAAAGATGTATAAATTTATGGGTTTATTCAAGCACTAGGATATAGCAGAAACCCAGCAAATGAACAATATGGTCCATCAAGAATGTTACCAGTGTCATGAAATCCGCGATCAACTTTCACCCATACTAGGTCTCCTTTATCCAGTTCTACTATTGCGATGTTCGATCCAAATCCATAATGGGTTTCATCACCAGCATACACATCTTGAATTGATACACCATTTCTTATTATTTGAGCTTCTATGAACTTTGATTTCATCGAAAGGAAATTAACAATAAAGACATAAAATCCTGTAGTTGGACTTTGAAACACACCTAAATTGCCATCAAGTGAGTTTGCCAGGTTTAAGTCGACATCTTCAAACTTAATGACCTCGTTGTCATTTAAACTTATATATCCTCGTACTTTTGCCAGGAAGGCCACATTAGTTGCTAGAAAGAAGCCCAAAAAAATATTAAACTGTTTTTTTTTTGTTACTTGATATATTAGCGCACCTCATGAATTCGTGTGTAAAAGAGGGACGAAAGATACCAGAGGGACAGTCAAACTCATAGATCGAAAACAAACTGACAACGCCATGGCCAAAAATAAAAAGACAAACAGACAAATAATAGTACAGATGACAAAACATAGAAAACTAAAGACTAAGCAACACGAACCCCACCAAAAACTGGGGGTGATCTCAGGTGCTCCGGAAGGGTAAGCAGATCCTGCTCCACATGTGGCACCCGTCGTGTTGCTTATGTTATTACAAATCTGGTAAATAGTCTAATTCGGTAAATCACATTCGTGAAAATGTAAGGGTATTGTAGTTACGACATAAGGAACATATCCGATATCATCTGTGAAACGGTAATTTACATAGAATGTTACTCAGTGCATATTCAGTTCATTTCTTTAGTATAAAATGAGAAAACAACACCATAAATTTCATGCTTCTGGATTTCCCTTCACCAGGAACGCTCAAAGACGAATATTTGAAAGCTAAGGATGTATAAGAACCGAAATAGTTAAAGATCCAAATGACCAAAAAGGACATAAAAATAATAGCCAAATCCATTTTAGGTCAACTTTGCATGACAGATTGAAACCGTATTTTCTTAATAATTTCTAAATTGCTTACATCCACTTCATTTGAACTTTGGTGGATAGTTGTTTCATTGGCAATCATACCACATCTCCTTATTTTTATATTAACAAAACAGAAAATCTTCAAAATGAAAAAGGGTTCATTGGTTAAGATTATACATTACAAGACATTTGGTGAAACTGTTATGAACTGACCATAAAACATGTTAAGATTCATTCGTCCTTTCCCTTTTTATGATCAAAAGACCACAAACTCCATTAAAAAACTTTAGTCGATTGTCAAAATCGAAAAGAAGTTTTCGCTTACCAATTTTGACATTGTCATAAAATTCATAATTATCGAACAGGGTAAAATGTACGGTGCGATAAGACCTTTAGTCGGCCAAATTATTCTTTGAAGGTTGTACATGCATGTACAGTATACATATATGCTGTTAAGGTTAACATGATAAAAAACAACGGGTAGTTTAATGTGGTGCTTTGCTTTTGCGCCTTTTGGTATTTCATTTACGCTAAAAATATCTTTCATTTGCGCCAAAATGATACAGTTCATTTTTGCGCCAATAATACATGTAAATAGTATTAATAATAGATCAATATTAAAAAGAGACTTTTAATCATAATGTTGCAACAAAGTTGAGATAGCATAATATAAAATATTCATTGAATTGAATTTAATTGAAATAAAACCCTGTGGCGCAAATGAAATACTGCGTTTTTCAAAAATTGGCGCAAATGCGTTTATTGACTACAGTATAGCAATTTTGAAAACATGAATGAGCATATCTATTCTTACTACAGAAAAAAGAAAATACAAGGTTTTGGTCGATTTTCTAATAATTAAGAAATTGTAAATACATATAGTGTTTTTCAGGACAAATTCTTAAGATTGTATGATAACTTCAATTTTTATACCAAAATAGAGCCATTGACACACCCCTACAATCCTTATAGTCGACTGTATACATGTGTTCTATCAAAGTCATTCGAAACGAGTATCTTGTAAACATAATGTTAAGAAAATCATTGAATTAATGCATGCATATATACTTAACTAAGTCCTGTATGCACGTTTTTTTATATTTATTACGAACTACTAACGTATAATCGACAACATATTTACTTCAGTTACTGTTGATCGCCTACTATTTACATTTCGGTTTTGTTGCCGATGTTTACCGGACTGTGACCTTGATAAACAATCAACACAGAATTGTGGACCACGTGAAAAATAAGTAAGTTGATAAAGCGATGATAATTTTTTTTATATTTACCATAATTCTCCATTTGTTAATTAAACTTTGCCATAACAGTTGTTCGATTATTTGGTGTATAACATTGTTCTTTCAGAATCAATTAACATAATTTACCATCCAGTGCACGTTTGTTTACATTCGTTTAATCACGGGTTTCCCCTCGCACTTGACCTTTGCGGTTGTCGAAGTTCTAACGAGAGGTCTCGTGGTTAAAATCACTGTATACGGAAAAGCTATCGACAAATAAGAGTACGGGAAAACACTAATTCAATAGCAGAACATTTCAGAAGATTTTGATAAGATTAAGGATTTTCTTTTACAAGAAAGTCCATGTACGCTTGCTTTATAGTACAACTTAGCCATTCAGGTATATATAGGGGAACATAGGGTAACTCGCCACCATAAGAACTATTCAAGCTACTGCATCTTCCCCTCGCAACTTTCGTGAAACGTTTTCATGTGATACTCAAGTGTATACAGAGTTTTACAAATACCAATAGCAACTGTATGTTTATATTCAATAATAAGAGCCAAAACTTGAATGACTTTTCACATCTTATGTGGCGAGTTATCCCATGGATTTGGGGTAACTCGCCACCATATTTCGAATTGTTTCGTTAGCCTGTTGGTCTTGAGTGACAGTTATTTCAAAGAATATTAAAACAAAAAAATATCACAGATATCCAAAGTTCACTGTTCAAAAAAGTCAATTGAATAGGTGGAGGGTTGGCCTTCGAACTACTCTAACCCCGCAACATTCTGTATGTGCCTGTCCCAAGTCAGGAGCCTTTATTTCAGTGGTTGTCGTTTGTTGCTGTGTTACATATGTTTTTTTCGTTCATAATTTTGTACATAAATTAGGCCGTTCGTTTTCTCGTTTGAATTATTTTATTTGTCATTTTTTTCATTTAAAATAATTTAAGGATATTTATAGGTATATTGTAAATGAAATTCTTCTCAATATGTCATTGAAAGGAGTAGGTTCAGTAAGACCCCTTTTTGGCCCCAAAATATAGCAGTTTTACAAAACTGTTAAAATGTAAACTTTTAGCTATTCATTTGAAAGTAGAATACTTCTGTCACATACATATGGGCTGTTTTTGATAATACAATGCATATTTATCGGGTACTAGCATCATTAAGTCATGCTAAATTACTGAAATCTTCATAATTTTAGCATTTGAGTTAATTTTAGATGGTTTCCGTCTTAAATGGACGTGGCCGCATTTGTGTTCATTCTTTATATTTAAATGTAAGTTGTATTTGATGATAATACATAACATATATAAAGGTTGAGGATGAACACGGATGCGGCCACTTTCATTTTTGACAAAAACCATCTGAAAAGTGACATATTATGGCATATTTGATAGATTTATAACATTTAAGCTTGAATATGAGCGTTTTTAATGACTAAATCAGTTCAAATCTTTCACATAAATAAATTGATTCTACTAAAGTAGACACTTAAGTGTTTAAAAAGTGTCCAAAATCTTTCATCAGATGAACCTGAAATTTGGGGTCAAAATCAGCCCTTACCGGACCTACTCCTTTGTATTGTTAAACTGCAATCAATCAAATAAAGCCATGGTTTTTTATTATGAAAAACGATTGTTACTCTCGGTTGGTACAGTTTGGTTTAGGGCTTTCTACACTTGAATTGTCTCAAATTACTTCCAAATTTTCCAGTACAGGATTCGTGATACCAGTCTTGGCATTTTGTACATTTGACCCAGTCCTCATCATCACTGTTGTCGTCAAAACAGTAACCGTCACAAAATGCACAATATAAGCTATTATCTTTTTCGTTATCTTTGTCATCACTGCTTTTTTTTCAAGAGGTGCCTTTTTAAGATTTTTTTGCAATAGTTGTCTTCTTCGTTGTTCGTTCAGAACTTTTTGGCTTTGTTAGCAAATTAATTAGTTTTTTTTTTCTCTTCTCATCCCGATTGCGTCTTTTTTCTTCCTTTTCTGTTTCTTTCTGTTTCTTCATTTTTATTTTCTCTTTCATTTCTATGAGGTAGATCTTGTCAGTTAACAGCCTTGCTGTTGTTATTCTTTTAGTTTTTTTCTTTGGTTGATTTTTCTTAACTTCGGGAATTACTAAAATTTCATCAAAATTCTCCCGTTCAGAGTTAGTATACGTAACTGTATTTACTGTCATTTCTGGTTGGTTTCTAATAGCGTCGATCATCGGATATGTTGGACGATCGGGTACTGCATGAACATCAGCGACGACAGCGATGGTGTTTGTCTGTGTTTCTGCAATTTCATTTGGGGTAGATTGTGGCATTTCAACCATAGGTGTACTACGGTCTGTATTTTCATTTTCTGGTATGTCCTCCGTTTGTGGTGACTTGGTATCTAGTACAGATGTTAAAAACGGTCCATACGCTTCTGCTGGTATGACTCTTTGATTAAAGGGATAAATTCCAGTAGAACGAAAACCGCTAAAAATGTTAACCATATTCATTGAAGACTGAAATGCGGTATTAAATAGTCCACAAAAGTCATACCTTGTTACTTGTCTACTTGATTGTCTCTCATAAATTTCTGACATTGTTTGTTGTAACTTGTCTTCATTGGTCCGAAAATAGATCTGTCTAAAGGCTGTAGCCAGTGTGTAGTATGTGGGGGGAGACAAAACATTTCAATCTTGTTCTGTTTTGCTTTCTCTAAAGTATCAAAATTCAGGTGTGATGCATGACCATCAAGTATCAAAAGAACGGGTCTGGCTGGTGGCAATTTTTTCAAGAAGATGTTAATGAACCACTTGTCAAATAGATCACTGTCTATAAATGAGGATTTGCTACATCCAAATTCTGATCCAGGTGGTGCGTTTACTTTCAGAGCTTCACTTACCCGCTGCCCTTTAAAGATTATTATAGGCGGTAAAACCCGTGCCTCAGCATTGACACAACAGAGTACTGTTACATTTTCACCCCTTTCTCCGCTTGTTTTTGCATATATCCCTCTTTTCCCTCTATTCCCGACAATCTTTTCTGGGTTGTGTACGGTGCTAATTCCCGATTCATCTGCATTAAATAGTTGTTGTGGTTTGTCTTTAACACCTAAAGATTCCATAACGGATCCTAGTTTTTCAAAATAATTAGCAACAATAGATGATCTCGCTGCACTCAATCCTTCTGGCTTCCTAACCGACAAAATTGGATGTCTTTCAGAATAGCTTATCCACCAATCATATCCAGCGGACTTCTTCTCTTCACTGAAGCCATGTATCCCAAGTTTGTTTGCTATCTGGTATGCTAGTTTCCTAATGTCAATCACTGTCAGCCCCAAACCCCGTTCTTCCATTTTCAAGATATAGCCGACTAAAATATTTTCTTGGTTTCTGTTCAAGATTGGTGGTTTTGTTGGGTGTGCTGCAGTGTCTTTCATATTTAGTCTCCCTCTAAGCGTCGACCTTGGAACATTATATAAAACCGATGCCTTCTTTTTGCCATTCCTCCTCTCACTGCCAAAATTGCATTTTCCATGGCTGCCATACTCCATTGTCCCTGTTTTGATGTCAAGCCTTTCTTTTTTCTTGCCATATGTATTTTCTGAAAGAAAAAAAGAATAGATCAATAAAAACCTACAATTTATTTACTAGTAAAGAGTTATTTAATATCTATTGTATATTTTAACATAATTTACGTGTAAAACAATATTACTGTTCTTTTATTCTTAAGGCTTATTTATATTTAAAAGGATCAATAGGCCTTCTGATAGTCTGTAATATAATCTGTTTAAATGTATGCACATTTATAGTTTTCATGATAATATAATCTGTGTAAATGTATGCACATTTATAGTTTTTACCATGATAAAGAGATGATAACAGGTTTTTTTTTATTAAATCGAGTTATTTAATTTTGAAAATTTGGAAACAGCTTTGGCAAGATTCTAAATTATCTAAATTAACCAAATTTCGTAACGACAAACGTGAATACAAAGGTAATACTTTTCAACATACATGTGTATAATTTGTTGAATATAATAATAATAATAATTAATACTTTATTTAAAGAGGGTAAAATCAGTAAAATATAACTTTGAGATGACGACACATGCGTCGAGTTCAATAATTTACAGGTTCTCAAGCAGTGGATAACATGGCAACATTATGAGAAATATTTTAATTCTTCATTTTTTATTACTTACAAGTTATGTCTTTAATATTCCGAAGTTTGTCAGCCAGGTCGTAAATTGATGCCATACTGTCTGTGTTCATGTGCAAATCAACCTGAATAAAAGATGGTTATAAAAATTAATTATATTGAAGAATAACTCAGGAATTTCCAATTACTTGAATGAGTCACTAGTTTTGAATACAATGTAAATATCGGTTCAACTGTGTATGATTTATAAATATACTATCTGTTCAATTTAGATTTTGTTGATTTTGTATTGTTTTTTTTTTGTAAATTATTGTCAAAAGCAGGGGCTTTGTTGCAACACCCCTGTGTGTTTATGTTTTTAATTGCCACATTTATCTACAGGTTCTCCGTAAAAAAAAACCCACTACAAACCGACAAGATTGGACAAAAAAAACCAATAAAAAATCAACAAAAAACTAAATTGATCAGACAGTATATTTATAGTAGATCTACACGTACTTGCCGACATATTCTGCATGTAAAATATGTGTTAATAACTGTTATACTTTTAATACATCTTATTATGAAATAAAGAATAATGAAATCAAAGACATATACTTTTATCAGTCATTTTGGAAACCTTGGGCATTCACTTTGATGTCAACTAGTTGATTACACACACGAATATTGCTGTGGTGAATTACCCGATCCACATGGGGTAACTCGTCACCTTTCGTATTTGCACGTTTTCTGTATTCATCGATATGAAATGGCACACCTGGGGCTTAAAATCATATAATGTAGATGTCGAAGACTTCGCTTGTCATTGATTTGATCACATAGAAGTTATTTTACGTCTTTACGTACGCAAAACATTTGGTTCTCAATGAAATAATTGATTTCCATTACACCATGACGTTACAAGTCACAAAAATGGCGGAGCTTTCAGCAAATCATGACCACGGTTGCATAAAGTTTACTACATTATTTCACCACACAATATGCTGAAATGTGGAGCATTTTTCTGTCTTACTATTTTTCCAAAGAATAAAATGCACTTACCTGTGAAAGTTTCTTTTTCAAATATCTTGACTCAAATGAGCTTGATGAAGACAAAGACGCGATGACGTAAATGACGGATGTTGTAACGTTCAGACGTAATCAACTTTATACAAAGAGAGACAACTTAAATATTAATGAATGACAGAGATGTAAAAGGTGGCGAGATACCCCTTATGGCGAGTTACCCCACTTTCCCCTAAAACATATTCAACTTTTGTTTATATGTTTCCATAAGGAATTTTAGTTGTGGTTTTGTTCTATTCCTATGCATTTTTTATGATTTTTACAAAACAACCGGAAGTATAAAAGCTTAATTTTGAATTTAAAAGCTTTTGCGGGACTAATCCTTAACACCTATTCAAATGATTAAAATTGATATCGTAGCCTCTAGTCAATTAATTGAAGATTGGTTATCATATTCTTTTTTCTTTTTGTACCTTCGTTTTGAAGGGGAAACCGGCACAAACGGCAAACCTCGGCCAAATACGAACTACTCTCCTTCAAACTTATTACATGCGTAATGCCATGATAATGGCCGATTAGAAACGATAGCTACTGATGATTACGTAAATTTAGATAACTTAGAAATTTAATCTACTACCGCTTGGGCAGAATGGAAGTTCAATTTAATAAAAGTAACAATGATGAACTGATGTGTACAAAATGAAATTAGTAGCAAATGATTCAGGAATATGTTCATGAATCTATCTTATTCATACGAATACTACTTAGAAATATGCATCGTTTAAATTTTTTTATCATGAATAAACACCTCTGTGAATATAAATGGTTTTTCTTTTACTGTGGATTCATTTGTATTCGTGGGATACTAATTTTCATTGATTGATTGGGTATAGGTAAACCACGAATTTAAATGTTCACCGAAATATAAAAAAATCTTATAGTCTTGAACTCGGACTTCAATTCAAATATGCACGAACATTCATTTTTTCCTCAATCCACGAAAATTCATGTTTTCCTCAATCCACGAAAAATTGTGTTTTCCTCAATCCAAGAAAATTGATTCTATCCTCAATCCAAGAAAATTCATGTTTTACTCAATCCACGAAAATTCATGTTTCCATCAATCAACGAAAATTTATTTTTTCCTCAGTCTACTAGAAGTAGAAACCACGACAATAAATGAATCCACAGTATTTTGATATGGAAGCAGGAACACATTTCTTCGACTGGTGTGTAAATGATTTGTATTTTTTAACGCAACTGTTTTAAGATTTAATCCACAAAAACTTTGTCTGCAGTAAAAGATTATACATGTTCATGTATGAATATTCAATTAAACGTTTATTTTGCCCTATGTTTGAGTTTCTTATAAATTGAACGTATCTCTACAGTAAAAACGAAAAAGGAAAACTTACGATTGGAAATAGTTATTCGCTTGTTATGAAAAGTTTCGTTTCCATGTTTGGCATCACTGTAATAAACATTCGCAATCTTCTTGAATACTTCATTGTCATTCTTTAGAAAACTAATCGTGTTTTTAAATTCTTCGTTTTCAGTTTGTAGGGATGACACCTTTTCTTTGAGCATCTCATTATCATTCATAAGGTCCATCATAAGTGTTTCAAGTTTATTCATTCTTTCAAGCAATTTATCATTTCCGACGGACCTGCAAAATAGTATAAATAAAAGAATTACGACATAACCTATTTTGATTTCATAAATATTGAAATATATCTGCCACAAAGATCAGTTCTTTCGAACTTTCGAATTTTTTGATAAGGATATGTTTGGCACTAACAAGTGTCATGTACTTGCATGTCATTGCTAAAGATTTCTCGCACGTTGTTGTAAAGGAGCCACAGTAAGTTTTATAGAGGCACACCACTAGATAGTCCTCCTGTTGGATTTAATGTTAAAAATGCGATTTTTGAAAAAATCTTACGAGTATTGTGATGATGCTCATCGTATAGAACAGTAAGTTCTTTACAATAAAATGACTTTTTTCTATCGATTCATTACCAAATAGGAAAAATAATTCAATTCTAAATATTGCCGCAAAAACGTTTATACTCAAAATTTCATGCGTACTACTTTGATGAGTCCCACGTTGAAACACATGATTTCTATGTGATGTAAGCAAGCGCTACTTTGGGTTTTATCCTTCTTTGCGAATTAAGAGACGTATGGACAATAGGATGGTTGATGAATTAGTCTCATACCAAATACAAGCACATATGGATTATTTAAGCTCTACTTTCGAAAACGCTCAGATTACTGTTCTTGATCTTAACATGAAAAGTATTCAAAATTAAGCAAAAGTTATTATAACTTACAGTACAGTAACACCAAGACGCCTTCAGGCTCCAACTCAATAATTCAATTATATTTAATTGGATCCCAATTATATTTGTGTGGGTTGCGCACCCAATTTTGGCAATATAATGGAACAATAAACAACTGTCATACAAGTGGGAGGTTTAGCTAGCAATAGAATTGTCTTTCCTCTTTTTGAATTTTCATTTGTGTTCGGTATTTTTGTAAATACTTCTTTAAAAATGGTAACTTCATCTGTGATTGAAAAAAAAGCATATGAGGAGTAATCAATTCATGATAAATTGCACCTTAATTTGTTGAAGTCCTTGTTGTAATTGTTTCAATCATTCCTTTAAATTACCTTCACAGTAAGAATTTTCAATACCGAGCGAACGTGTATTCATCTTCAACTTTATTGATCACACCTCGAGCATTACACAGTTAACAAAAATGTTCACTTGAAATGGAAGTGTAGAACTGAACCATCCTTAAACACTTTGATATAAAAAGAGTCGAAAGACACTAAAGTGACATTTAAACTCACAAGTCGAAAACAAACTCACAATGTCATTGCAAAAAACAAAAAACGGCGAAAACACAAACAACAGCACACAAAACACAGCACACAGAAAAACTAAAGACTGAGCAACACGAAACACACCAAAGATGAATTATGTGCAGACGTTAATGAATCTTCACATATTTATATATTCCCCACTCGCGACAAATTTAGTCCTGAGTAGATATGATCTCTGTCATTCCGAACGGTTCATGCTATATTCAAATTGTTAGTTGCTACTCTTTGACCTGAGCAAAAGACTTGAAACTAAGTCCCATAAAAATTATTGACCAAATCAGACTTGACTGCAACGTAAAGCGTAATGTGTATACAGACTGAATGTTTGAAAATTTTAGATTGTGTTCAGGACAACATTGATATTTTAGGTAAATATAAATGGTGATCATTTACTGGTATAGCAGAAGATGTTTTATTTCCATTAAATGAGCTTTCAAAGAGAATATTACAATATGACATTATTTAAACATATTGGTCCATACTACGTAATGGGTGATTCTTTGGTAAGATTTCGTTAAATGTTTATGCATCCCTAATAAAGATATTCAGATGCATTTCAATATGTTTATAGATAGAAGAAGATGTGGTATGAGTGCCAATGAGACAACTCTCCATCCAAGTAAAAATTTATAAAAGTAAACCATTATAGGTCACAGTACGGTCTTCAACACGGAGCCTTGGCTCACACCGAACAGTAAGCTATAAAGGGCCCCAAAAAATTACTAGTGTAAAACCATTCAAACGGGAAAACCAACGGTCTAATCTATATAAAAAACGAGAAACGAGAGACACTTATGAATCACATCAACAAACGACAACTACTGAACATCAGATTCCTGACTTAGGACAGGTGCAAACAAATGCAGCGGGTTTAAACGTTTTAATGGTACCAAACCTTCACCCTTTTTCTGAAACAATAGTGTAACATCACAACATAGAAAGACACACTTATGCAGTGTGTAAAACCTTAATAGGTGGGCTTTTGGTGAAACAAATAACTAAGTGGAAAAGCATGAAGTAATGGAGCACGTGAAAAGAATACAAATTATGTAAATGCAGAAAAGTTTTGAGTATTTTTATTGATACGAAAAATGCGGCAGGATAAGTAGCGATTGAATGAGACTTTTTTTCCAATCGCATCACTTGTGTGCAAAATATTTCTAAAATGTAATTACTAGTAATGGGTCAATCTCTAATTGTTGTTGATTTTATCAACATGTAGCATATTAAAAGCAAAATCTAAGAAACATCTTGTTTAATAAGGGCAACAGTAGTTTACCAGGTTTTAAATTTTGAACCAAATGATAAAAATTGATTAGAACTGATTAGTACCATGCAGAATAAGCTTGGACTCCCCATTTAAATTCTCAATTTCTGGACTCACCTTTAAGTATCTAGTGAGAACCCTGCCCCTGGCTATAGTTTTGAATCACATATAAGGTTGGATACTTTTCATGTTTCACGAGCAGAATAAATAATATTGAAATAGAGCACTTTCGATATTTAATTTTTTTTCAGAATATCTTGAATTTTGTAAGGGTTACAATTTCACATATTTGTCGCATGTTCTAATTCTATTTCAATGTTTATTATTATATATATATTGTTTTGGCGCAACTGGTTTGGATTTTTCCTTTAAAACTTTGGTGTAGATTCAGTCCTTTAGTTTGGGATTTTTGATAACCCCCTTCGCCTCCTCTTACGCTTTCCGTGGGGAGTTAAAATTGACTAATTTTTTAAAATTTGCCAAATTTATGTGTTGCAAATGTCTTAAATTAAATGCACTTTATCAATCTTTACCAATGCTTGAACACTGACTACATATGATTGATACCATCAGGGACGTGCAGGCCATCAGCTATGCCCAGGTTGCTACAAAAAGTTAGTCAATCTAGGTAAAAGATGTTGGGTTTTTTTTTACCTTAAAAAAAGAGAAATTTTTGCAACCCTCTCGCCTTTAATTCGGAAAATGACACTTTTTGCATAAACCACTATTTAATTCACCTGCATGCTGTTGACTATACAAACTAACAAGATATCGATATCTATGATTTATTAAACTAGTTTACAGGATAAAGAAGAAAACAGCAAGTTTGCACTACGAACTATTTGGAACATACTTGGTTCCATGATGCTGGTCGTGAATAAATTCATCATTGATACAAGGATGACTTTGACCCATACTTTTATCTCC